TTCCATGGCGCCGCCCGGCCGTCCGTCGGCGCGTGGCCCAAGCGGGGGATTGCGAGGCCATGGTGTCGCCGGCCAGAGGATGAGCCAGCAAAGAAACGGACGCTGGAGAGAGCTCGTCCAACGTCGCCCCCCCGCTCTGCAGTAAGTACTGCGAGACCTCGTCTTCCTCTGCGCAGGCGCAGAGCTCGCGCATCAGGGCCTCGCAGTTCCACGGGGCGACGGGATCGCACAGGCGTGGAAGCTCACTAGTTGGGCGACGAGGCGGAGGGACTCCTCGCTCCAGCCATGCTGCGTTCGCAGTCCGGGCCGCACCGCTTGGCCCCGACTGCATGCTCATAGCACTGCCGTGGCGGCTGCGGTTGCCCTTGCCTCTCGCTCCACACAGATGCGGCGCACATGGACACGGATGCGGTGCCCACGTTGACGCTAGCGGTGCCATCGCCGCATGCCCCCGGACAGGACTGCTCGCCCGTCGAGCGAAGCCCCTCACGCACGCATCGGTGCACATCGTTCGCCAAGTCGTCGGATGCGGGGGCCAAGTATTTTTTTTTGAAGCCTCTTTTTACACCCGCGTAATTTTGAGACGTCCGCAGGTCCAGAAGGTCCAATTCCCGGTGCAACCTGCGAACTACGGGCCCAGAAGGCTGGGCGCGGGAGGGGCTGCGACGTGCAGCGCGTCCTCAAGTAGCGGGTGCTGTGCGATAGGGCGCCAGCGAGGTACGGCGCTCCGAGCAGCGTGGCAGTAAGTGTGCTTTTCAAAGCCACGCTCAAAAAAGCCCCACCAGCGGCGAATCCAATCCTGCCTAGCCGCAGGGCACAGGGCGGCAGGAGCGTGCTGGGCTCGGATGTGCACGAGATGAGTGACGAGGCGTAGCGACTCAGCGCTCCAACAGCCTCCACCTTCTTCCTACGCCTGCCGGCATGAGTCCCTCTGCTCCTACCTGAGCCGCTGAGCCCAGCTCCAGCTGTTACGGTCGGGCGCTCGCCCTCCGCGGTCCTTCGCTAAGGCCGCAAAGGCAAACGACTCCGGCCCTGCGGAGCGGCATGGTGGATGATGCTCGCAGGCCTCCGGCTGCAGTTGCTGCCGCCAGGCGCCGCCCAAAGCCGTACTGCCTGCTGCACCGCAACCGAAAGCATGCTCCACCAACGCCGCGCCCAACCGGCAGTCGCTGCCGCGTGCACGGCTGGAAGGGCGCGGTAGGCACTGCGACGCACCAAGTCTCGCACGAAGCCGCGGGCCTGGGCGTTCCAGCGGCCACCCACCTCGGAGCCGAGCACAACGAGCGTTTGCGGCCCTCCCCGCGCAAGTTCTGGTACGCGGCGCGCTTGCGCAGCAGGTGCCCCGATCGCGCGAGCGGGGACACGAAAGCGTGGCATCGCAGCACCAGGCTCAGAACTCGCAGTGCATCAGCCCAGGCGGCCAGGTAGGCCGCAGGGGCGGGACGTCCGGCGCGCCTCGGCAGGCGTTCCATGTGTTCCGAGACAGCCTGGGGCATGCTTGATGCAATGGATTTGGTAGCGGCGTTGCGATGTCCCGTGCCCACATTTCGAGATGTACCGTCCTTCATGCGGAACCGCATACGCGACTCCAAGCTGCGCCCACTCCTCCGGACATTACGCCTACCTTGCGCACGTGGAAATTGCATGGTTCTCCTTGCTCCCCGCATGCTCCCCGCACGTACCACTCAACGAGGGGTCCAGGGCCGTCAGGACGTTCCAATGGGGTGACTGGGCACGGCTGCTCGAAGAAGGGCGCCGAGCCGGTTCCTGTTGCCGCATATCGGGTGCACAAAGCCTGGATGCGGAGACCCACGCCGAGTGCAAGCGGGAACAAGCATGCACACAGGTCAGGGCGGGCGAACTTTCCAAAGTTCGCCAGCTCCTCTGCAGCAGAGCTCGTGCCCGGCAACGAGCTCCTGGCACGCATTGACGGACCCGGCCCGCCGTCCTCCAGAACCCCGAACACCCATCCTGCGAGCCGTCGTAGAGCAGCGTTCGGCCCGGCAAGTCCAATTCGGACCGACTGCAGTTGCCTCGGCTTTGCGAGATGCACGGAGGGGAGGAGCAACGGGACTTTCGGGCACGCGTGCGGAGCACCTAAAGATACTGCTGGCACACATGCCTGTTGCAGGCCGACCCGGAATGGCCGAGCCACTTGCCGTTGCGCAGCTGAGCCGGCCCTAACATGGGACCGCGCGCCCCCGCCTGAAAACCAGGCCCCGCCGGACACGACTGCTGCGGGAAAGAGGTGTGTGTAACAAAAAAACATTAGAGCTCCTCGCTTTTGCCGTGACCGAGCTGTTTAATTAATGCGGGTGTGCCTGCCGACAGCGTGACGAGCTCGCCTTGGCTCATGCTTGTCGTAGTTGCTCTCTGACCGTGACCCACGGTCGTTTCCAGACACGCCTCTCTCTCTGGCTCGCCTTACTGCGCTTCGCAAACCAGATAGAGGCAGGCGCGTCATCGCAACTGGCGACGTCTTCTGCCGCCTGGTTTCACGAGCCCTTGCCAAAACGTGGGCGCACGTGTTCGATGAGGCGACTCGACTGTTCCAATACGCATTGCAAGCGCGAGCCGGCACGGACGCTTGGGCAGCGCATGCGCGCACAGTCCTAGAATTGCGGGACGATGCAGTCCTTGTGTCGCATTGGGACAAGACGGAGCTCCGATGCGTCGGACTGCTTGCTTGCGTTCCTCGACGACGTGTATGTTCTGCCCGCGATACAGTAATCAGCTTCGTCGAAGCTGACTGCGGCTTAGCCTCCAACGATCCCACAACACGATTGTACAGCTGAGCCGGCGGTGGGGGCGGACGTGTGGCGTGGGGACAAACCACTGGAAGAGCGAGGGCTGGTTGTGCTGGCCCCCGTAGGCCACCCGCACTTCGTAGCAGCGTGGGCGGCGCCGCGAATCAGGACCCAGAGGGAACTGTTGCACCAGCTCCCATTGCTTCTTGAGCTGCGTGCGTGTGGCTTTTCCTCGCGATGTGTGCTTCACCGCGAGCCAACCACGTGCTGCACACCGTGCCCTCGCATCTTACGCGCACGCACATAACGCGGCGATATGGGCGGAGCTTTGCCTTGGCGGCATCGCCGGAGCAGACGTCGCACACGTGCCAAACGAGGCGACCTTACCGGCAGCCTTCGGAGGCCTGGGCTTAAATTCTGCGGTTCGCACAGCGCCGGCCGCATTCTGGGCTGCACACGTCGCTGCCGGAGACAAGCGCTCCCCAGCTTTCGCAGATGCCTGCACGCGCTTGCTCGCCACCGGAGGGGGTGCGCCGTGCCTGAGGAGCGCGGTTGGGGCACGCGCGCTCCTCCAGGCTTGGCTCCAGCGCCCTTCTGAGCGGGAGCCCGTCCACCTCGCTTGACCGACCAGGGCCGGGGCGACTGGCCACATGGGGCCTGGATGGGCAGGTGGTCCCCCAACAGTGGCTGGCGCACACTACAGCACCTTACGTCCGTTCCGCTGACCGGCGCCTGGACCTGCTGCACACACCGGAGCCGCTTTGCGGGTCGCGGGGCGATGCCGGGCGCGCCGGCTGCTCCGAGACTTCGTCCGTGTCCGTGCCCCGCGAGCTCTGCCAGCCGTGCGAAGCGCCGCTTCGTCGGCATGGGCCAAGTGTTGGTGGGCCATGCTGGCCGTGTCGGTGCAACAAGCCGTCACGAGCACTGCCGTCGGGTCAGCTTGGCCGGCGCCCGACCACGCGAGGCGACAGTCGGCCCCAAAGCTGGAACGCGTGCTTGACCTTGCTGACGCAGCAGGGCCGAGCCGCCTGCCGCTACGCGGCCCATAGGATCCCATAGGGAAGTCATAGGGTAGGCGGCTGCGCTGAAGCGGGCGCCAGACCTGAGACTCATGCTAAAGAAGAAGTTCCGTGAAGAAAAAATCACAGGTAAGATAAAGAACCAAACCAAATACCGAGAAAACGAGACAAACAACAAAAGAAAACGAAAGAAAAATTAACAAAGGGAATAAAAACAGAAGCAAGGAAAGGAGTGCATAAACATTGACAGCACAACAATGTATGAATTACTGTAACCAGTCTATGACGAGACACACAAAGACAGTACTTGCAGTAACAATAAAGACATAAACTGAGACATAGAAGAGGGGGACAAAAACCGCAACACAGACTTAGAAAGAGCGGGACAAAGAGCGAAAAAAAACACCATCGTCATCATCATCATCATGTTGCCCCTCCACCACAATCAGCAGCACAAACCCGCATGAATTCTTTCAAAGCCCATCTGTGTTAATGAATGTGAGGGGGGAGGCACTGTGTGTGCATGTGTGTGTGTGTGTGTGTGTGGTGTGTGTGTGTGTGTAGGTGGGGGGGGGGCATTGTGTTTGTGAGTGGGGGGAAGACTTCCTTTTGCAGATGTTTTATCATTGGATGCTTCGCCTTTCCTCCGACAGTTCAGCAGCTGCCTTCGTGGCCCGCCGTGGAATGGGGTCTAACCTAGGCCTGCGAGTTCTCAAGGTGTAGGACCGCATCGGATGTAGGCGCTCTGTAGGATTCGCTAAGTAGCCACGACACGCGGCTGGCAGGAGAAAAGAAGCTTGAAGCAACAACTTCACTTCCCGATGGTACAGCCTAGCCGCGACGGCGACCGGGATACCAACATTACCAGGGCATCGTAGCTCTCGCGGCGTTGCGAATGCGCGCGCAGAGCTCTGGATCCTGCATGTCGTGACACGGAAGAAGTTTTAGCCATGCAATGCAGACATTGACTTTTGCACCACGTTGCATTGTTCGCATGTGTTTGTCTTCTCGTATCCCTGTTTCCGAACATGGAGGAAACCCGTCGAAACAGGGATAAACACGGCTGTACCAGCACGTGCGTGCACACACACACACACAACTTAATAGATTGTCGAGCACAGGAGCTTACCTTTGTCGCCAAATCCCTGGGTTTGACCGGTGAGATGCCGCGAGGACAATTCTTCGTGTGGCCGCGTTCTAAAAAAAACACTAGCCATTGGCGGCAGGTTCTCCTATGCCGTGGAAGCCGTACACGGCCTTTGCGACCCTTGCAGACTGTTTGTGGCTTCTGTGGGAGCTCTATGCTTAGCACGTGCGCCACTCGGATGTGGTTGTAAAACATGTCCGACGGCGAAATCAGGTCTGCGCTTTGTGGCGAGCCCTTGATGATTTTTTCCCCGGATTATCCGACCAAGGCGTGCAAAGAGGGCTGAGGAAGAATTATTGGATTCTGGACTTGCAGTCAGGTTGCCGAAGCTGTCCTTGCCGTCCATTTCTCAGTCCTCAGTACTCCTTCTCATGCGTCGCATGTTTTCGGGTCCAAGTAGTAGCCAGGGGTGAGCTGAGGTGGCATCACTCGTTTCTCCAGTTGAGTACAGCGGAGATTTCCGCACCTTGCATTGCACTATGGGTGGAAAACTTTGTTCTGGATTGCGTGGCTAAATCCAGAGGTCCATACTTCACGATTTATGACGGAGATTTCGAGCACTACCGTCAACATGCTCGCGCCCAAATTGGTTTGAGTGCTTCCACAACGGATTTTTTGAAGCTGCCAGTCAGACTGCCATTTCCGCATGCAGCCGTAGGTGCAGAGCAACGGAGCCTCATCCAAGGCTGCGACCTTGGAGACGTGGCTGGAACAGTTAGTAGCTAGTAGTCGCACCAAAATCTGCACCCGCTTCATCGGGCAATTGATTTTGGGATGCCCTTGCTGTGTTTGGAGGCTGTCGTGTTTGGTGTGACAAACCCGGTAATGCTGCAGTTGCTGGCAGGGACCTTAGTTGAGTATCTCGTAATGAAACGAAAGCATTCGACAGACTTTGTAGCCTACCGTCCTCAGGCCGACTTTCCGATTTCTGTGTTGCTGCAGCCTCGCCATCGTGAGGATGCGAGCACCCAGCCCGAATCTCAGACATCGTTTAGCCCCACCCCATGATCTTTAGCAGGCGTTGGGGAACCACTGCACCCCGTTGCAAGGTCTACGCTTCCAGCCCCAGCAGCTTCACAAGAAGACGCGGCCCCAGTCCTGCGTGGGGTCTTGTTCGAACTGGCCTGTCATCTCCACAAATCCCTGCCATGTTCTTCAGAGGCCGTCACCACTGGTGCGGAGTTTGCTTTGCTGAGGTTCTGGTGGAATCTCCTACTGGGGACCGCTTTGCTTGTTTGTCCTTCACTGCTGTTCTGCTGTTCGGTTGCCAATGCGACGACAGCCCCACCTTAATTCTGACGCAGCCATTCGCTCACACGATCTCCCGCCCTTTCTGCTTCAGTTCAAGCCTCGAAGCCATGGGCCCCATGAAGGCAATGAAGGCCCGGTTCATGCGCTCGCTTGCTGCAGACTTGGTGGTTGAGCTGTCCTGATACCACTAATTCTGATGCACAGGCTATGAAGACGATGAAGTCCATGAAGGCGATGAAAGCAGTCCGTGCCGCTCCGAAGGGTGAGATTGCCGGCCAGCTGGCCGAGAGTGCGGGCTTGAAGAAGAGCGAGGTGATGCAATTGCTCGATGCCTTGGCGGACATCGGAACAAAGGAGCTGAAGAAGGCAGGGAAGTTCACCCTTCCCGGACTTGTCATGATCAAGACCCGCAAGAAGAAGGCCACCAAGGCTGGCAAGCGGATGATGTTCGGAAAAGAGGTGAAGGTGAAGGCTCAACCTGCCAAGACCGTGGTGAAGGCGTTTCCGGTCAAGGCGGTGAAGGACCAGTTCTAAGTGCGTGGACGGCATTTTGAGGTGCTCGTGCTTCACACGATCTCTTGGTACAGCTGGTGTGCTGGTGCTGCTGTCATGCGAGTGCTCACAGAGGTGAGCATGTTTTGATGAGGCTGAGCCATCATGCCCCCAGCGGCAAGACTTGCAATGCATCAGTGAATCACGAGTTGCTTGTTGACGAGTATCTTCGTCAAGAGGGGGCCTTTGCTCGGTTGACGGTTTGGTGGAGATGCATTGCCCTGGTCCTGACACGTTTCAGCATCTGTTCAAGTCTCTGCAAGTTGGACCAAAAGGTGCAGAGCGATTCCGGAATTTCTTGTCATCAGCGAGCTTTGCATTCTTAAATGTGTCTGTGTCGGAATTTTATATGGACGACGAGGACAGGCTGCAGCGAGCTCGCCGTGTCCCTGGGAGCGGCCTGGGGCTCGGCGGCGAGACCTTCGCGTGCTTGTGATTCTTTCGGTCTTTCGGTTCATGCAGAATGCAGCCCAGTCGCTTTGCTTGGGAATGTTTAGTTCCACAAGGTCGTGGATATGCACAGCCAGAACTGCCTCAGACTGGCCTGGGGTGCGGCCTGCATGCGATGCTGGCAAGAGAGTGACTAGAGTTACGACTGATTCTGTTCCACTCTTGGCTGGAATAGGGTGCTCGATGCCGATGCGGAGCTGCTGCAGCGCATCAAGGCCATGCATGCCCAAGATGTCTAGGGCTAGGGCTTGCTGTGCGGACATATTTTTTGGCGAGGCATCGGATTGTGTCGACCAGGATGACACAGTCCTTCGCCGGCCGGCAAGTTTGGGGTTTTCGTACGGAGTGCTTCTGACCGTTGCATCTTCGGTAGACTGCTCCCAAGTGCCCCATACTCCTGCTCTGATGGTTTTGCTTGTGAATCGAAAGCTCGAGCATGCATGTGCACCAGACGACCAAGAACATGACAGGTTACTTCTATGCCAGGGCCTCAGCGAAGATTACATCTCGATAGAGTGCTTCAACAGAGGGTGCGTGGTTGGGCATCAAACTCCAATGAGGAGCTAACGTTGGCATTCCTTCGTCCGTTGGGCACTCGGGCACGCAGGACCACAAACAAGAGTCAAAGTTTCCAGTGCCTAGGTTTCTACCTCACCTCGAAGCTTTGACAACAGGAGCTGCAGGAGGCATGGGTCGGCCCCGATGCCAATGGAAGCTCCAGATTCACTTGTGTCCTCAGGTGCAACGTTCGATGTGAGCTCTTTCCTTGCATCTTTGCAGCCTGTCGGTGCGGCTCCGACTTGCGCATTGTGGGAGGGTGCGGTCCGAATGGTTTCAAGCCGCAGTTTTCCGTCTGGGCCTTTTCCCGAGGTCCCTTCTCACAAATCTCGCGAAATGATTGCTCTGTGCTCGGTGTCGCCCCACTGGCATAAATGCTTGAGTATTGACACCGTCATTCCGAGGCCAGAACCTGTACTCTCGCTTCATCCGGGGAGTGAATTTCAAGCAGTGCCCTTGGCATCGAATTCGCTTAGAGGGGGCTTTGCTTTCTCTACAAGGCCCTGGCTTGCCAAGCAAGTTTCGACATTCCCCCGGCGGTGTGAGGACCTGGGCTGACAAAGCCGTGCTTGCTGGGTCCGGGAACTAGGGTGGCGTTTGCCGCAGGACGCCAGCCCGGCAGATGCTGTGATGGCAGGTGGCCTTCCGCTGTAGCAATGCACCCATCACTTGTCGTGGACATCGACCTGCGGTGGATGAGGAAGGACTCTGGATCTGTCTGTGGAGGACACGCGATGGACAGTGGCGTCGGTGAAAATGACCGGACCTTTTCGGACCATCCAGGCGGGGTAACGGCAGGTGCTGCCGCTTGTTTTTTTTTTCGAACGGGTGTTGATGGATAGCTTACGAGATTCTGCGAGTCTGTGCACGCTTTCTGCACAGCCCGACCTTCGCTGCTTGAAGGTCTGGGTGATTCGAGCCCCTCGGAGAGCACGGCGCTGCAGAAGAAAAGTCATCCATGCAGTTGCGGGTTTTGTGCACTGGAGCTTCCCTGGGCCTTTCCTGCACCCTGAGTCTTTTTTTGCTCCTGGTGTCGCCAGACGTCTCGCTTGGCAACAGTGTCGGGTTGGAAAATCGACAGTCGAAAGTAATATCTACAAGATTGTCAGAGTGCAATACATCATGCGATGTATCAGCTTTCAAAGCTCCTGACGTGCAACTTTGTGTGAAAGAACCGGCAGCTGAAGAAAGCAAGCATGTCCTTCTACTCTATGGGGTGACCCTCGCCAGTGTGCTGTTACTGGTTGTCGCCATGGCTGAAGAGCCTGCGCGACACGGCCAAGACAGGGTTAGGCTTCTTGCATATTGCTTTTACGTGATTTCGATCAGTAGACGGTGGCCTGTCTGGCCCTCCGCTTAACACCACGAATGGCATAAGATAGCAGGGCGCCGGCTACGATGCTTGCAGACCTCGCTGAGCCGTGTTGTTGGCTGATCCAAGCTGCTCATGCTGTAATCGCACAGCAGCTTCGCAGAAGTGACGCTCCGCTTCAAGCTGTGTCTCAGCTCAGGGAAGCACTTGCACCTCAAAGCGTTGATCTTCCACAGGCCTCATCACTGATTGCACAGTGGTGACCTTAACTGTGACAACGACGATTCATGTTCGCGACTTGTCTTGCAGGAGCTTCGCGAACAGGGTGTGGCGAGGATGCGCCGCGCGCACCTGGCCTCTCAATGTCTCGAGTGCCAGCAACAGAGCCGAAGCTGCATGCATCGCAACCCCAAGAGCGCAGCTGCTTTGAGACATGAGTTTTCCTGCTTGCCCTGGCCAGGATCCTGCCTGGGGATGAGATTTACCCCGTTGAAGGCCACTCTCTCATCTTCGAGCCAGTGTGCGCGCCTAGAGCCTCCGAGCTCCAACATATCAGCATGTCCCCAAGGTCGCCTAGGCCTGAAGCGCAGCTCCCTTTGCTGGCTTCACCTGCCGTGTGCACAGCGCTTGGGCCCTCCTCCTGTGCCGCGGCCTGGCTCAATGTCTTGGCGCAGCTTCTTGAGTGCGCCAGCGCTTGCGCCGTGGCCTGTGGAGGCTGTGCAAGCACTTCGTACGCTCCGGATGCTGCCTCTATGGTGAAGACTGCTTCTTTGCTCATCCTCCGGAGGTGGGAGAGTTGGCTTTCGATTCTCAGAGGGCTTAGAACTTAGCCGCCTGAAGCTTGTAAGAAATATTAAAATACGTACCAGTCAGAACTGTGCAACACAGATATCTTTAAATGCAGGTCACGCATGCTGCATTCGGTGAGGTGGCGTCAAGACCCCCACTCCCGAGTCCTGGTGGTTCCACCCCTGCCCAAGCTAGAATCGGGTTCTTTTGCTGAAGCAGATTGAACAGGCTGGCCAGGAGGCGCTCCGGAGACAACGATCTCGAGCACAGCGTCCAAACACCAAGATTGCAAATCGCGCGAGGCTCAGGTGTCCTGCGTGTGCACTACAGCAGGCGATCCGTTGAGGCAAGAGAGGGAGCATTCCTGCCGTGACGTTTTGCTTGAGGAGGTGAAGGAAGGCGGAATGGGGCCAGCTTCCCAACACTTCGATGGCCGCAAGAGGGCATGAGAACATGTGTGGACGTGCTCCCTGACCATTCGATGACCGAGCAAGGTGAAGAACTACAGCAAAGCATCGGTATTGCGAAGGTCCGCATTCAGTGGGTTTCTTTCCAAACTGGCTAGTCAAGTGTGCGTCAAATTGCACTTTCCTCGCAGAGGTGGCTTCTGGACTCTTTCGGGGTGCAGTGCTTGCGTGCCGGCAGCGGCGTTTTGGATGTTGCCGGCGGGAAGGGCGAGCTGGCCTGGGAGCTGGTAAATCTGAATCTCATTCCTGCAGTTGTACTGGAGCCAAGACTGCTGGAGCTCCAGTCCGTTGAGCGCAAATGGCGCAACGGTATATTCTGGCGCAACCCAATTTTTCACAGCCATCTCCACTGTGCCCACGACCCTTCAATCGAACCTTGTCGACCGGGACACCTGCGCTTGATCATCACGCCTGCACTGGTCACTTGGCTTAGTTGTCTGCACGGTCACTGGGGCGAAGCTAATGACGGCCTCGACAGCTTGGGCAACCTGGGGAACTTGAGTGCCTTCGAGCACGCTCGTGAGCGAGCCCAAGATCTTCGCTGGACAAGGAAAGGGCTCCAAACACACGAGGAAGACGATGAAGCTGTTGGGGAGCACCCAGCCGAGATGGAGGATGACGCCATCCTGGAAGCTGGCGTGACAGATGGGTCGAAAGATTCAGAAGCGTGGGCAGAAACTTTGCAAAAAAACAAGCTGCAAAGTGTCGTAAGTAAGCAGACGCAGCGCGCGCGCGCCTATTTTTGGCGCAGGGCTGGGCTAAGGCGCATGAGGAGGATCTTGAATGTGGACGGCTCGCAGCGGAAGCCAAGGAGAGCATTCTCAACTGCAGCGCCGCTCCAGCCTTAAAGCCGATGAGAGAGACCCTCCGGCGTTGGGCTCGTTGGGCTTCCAAGAGTGAGGTCGTGGCTCTGCACCCGGACCAAGCAGCGGAGCCGGCCCTTCGCTTGGCACTTGCCTTGCGAAAGCCCTGTGCCATCGTGCCCTGCTGCGTCTACTCGGCAGGTGCCATGCCTTAGAGCCTTAGAGCTAAGGGTCCTTAGCTGTCATGTTAGGGAGGGACCGGCTCATGGACCAAAGGGTGAACCATGTACGAACAGCTTCCGACGCCCGCCTGTCAGAATTTCCGAAGCGCAAGCTGCGCAGCGGCCGGGCGGTCAGGAGCGCGTGGACCCTTAAAGGGACTCACCGGACCCGAAGTATCCCGCACTGCTGCGTTCTGTGCTCAGTCTAAGAAACACCCTTCGACTCTTTGCAGTTTGGGTGAGTACTCTCGCCTCCTATAACTCCATCATTGCAAGGCGAAGTCAGGTAAGCAGTATCATGAAGGACTTACGAGGAGCTTCTGGAATACCTGCAACAGCTGGATGAGCGCATTCAGCGAGTGGATTTGGACTTCGAGGGAAAACGTGCCATGGCTTATGGCTCTGCGAGTTGCGCAAAAGAGCATGCGCGAGTCCACTCAGTGCTGCTTGGATGCCGGCAAGGCACGCTGCTTTTCATTACGCCAGAGGATGCACTGCGAGAACAGCCTTCGGCCACGGCGCCACCTTCCGACGAAAGCCAAGAAGACATCGAAGAAAGTGTTTCTGTGGATTTGTGGACACCATGCAGTCTAACATGGAGCCCCCCGCAGCTTTGCATGCATGGTCGTGATCTGGAGGGATTCTGCAGCTGTCTCGGGGCTCCAAGGTTATGCTGCGAGATGTGGGTCAAAGTCCTGTTACCTGTTGAGCAGACGCAACACTAAATACATGGATCACCCAAACTACCAACAGCTGCAGTAGTCAGAAGCACTCATCGTGCAAGAGCGGCTGCTTTCGGTCGAGTACGCCTCTGCTTGCCGGCCTGCGGCCTGTGCGGGACATTGTGCCTGGTTCTCGACCGTGCCCTTGCGCAGCGCTGTGGCATGCTCCCGTATGTCGAGCTCAGCGACGTTCTTTTGGAGCTAAGGTGATTCTGCACCGCAGTGAAACATGGTGCCATGCTCAGGAGATCGCAGGAGTAGAGTAGATTTTTTCCAAGACAACCTCGCCTTTTGCATGATATTAGATGGTAGTTCGTGGCACAGGCTGAAGAAGCCGCTTCACCGCCAGCAGAGAATGAAACAACGGAGACGGTGTCGCCGTCGCTGGCTCAGGCATAGGGTTCACGAGCAGTTTGTTTGCACAGTCTTCTTTCCGCACACGTGTCTGCTGCTTTAGTCACAGTGGCTCCTGATGCTGTAGCCGATAGCCAGACTCGTTCGGACCATCCAAGATCACCGTGCCATTCAGAGCACGTCCGTTGTAGCAAGGGGATCGCGCGACAGCAATGCTGCAGCAGAGCTGGTTGCATCGTTGTGCAATGGAGCGAAATTACTTGTGCCAGTGTCTCTGAAGACATGAGCTTCCCGTTTGGCCCTGGCCGGGTATGCCATCCGTTCAACTTTAACAGGTTTGATATTCGACATGAGTCGTGCGAGGGGCTCTATGCACAAAGAGCGATACTGCATCCAGGCTGGTGGCTGCAGTTAGGCGTACTGAGCAAGTTGGCAGCAGAGGTGCAGAACTGCTCCTCTGTACAGTCTTGTGGCCTTGGAAAGCTCTTTCTCTTCACGGGTGCCTTAACATCGCCTGGGTACGATCTGAAAGCAACTGTTGACCGGGTCGTGTTCAGCTACCATTCCAAGCTTGAGGAAAAAGTGAAATCGTTGCAGCGGAAGCACATCTTGGCCGTGCTGCATCGGCACCGCTCCGTTTTGGCCAAGGCCTCTGCTCTGTCAGAGTCTCAAATTGTTTTGCGCAGCCGAGATTTCACCATAGGTGTCCATGCGGACCAGGAGAGTGCTTCCGGTGCGTGGCGTGGACAGATCCGGGCCTGGCAAGCTTTTGCTGAAACCCAAGCTCACGGTTTCCTGCTCGACCAGGAGCGACACTTTACCGGAGCTGTCTTTGCGAGGTTTTTGGACTTGTACTGGGCCAGCTCTTCGGAGAAAGATGGTGAGTTTTGGCTCGACTACGGTTACTTGATCCCACAGGACACTCGCAGAAAAGTTCCATCGGAATCCTTCGCATGGTCTCGTATCGATGAGGTGCTGCAGAAGAAGTTGGTGATTTTCACGCAGCCGCCTGGCTACTGGGACTCCCTGGAGGCTCTGGCGCAGGCTGTGCCAAAAAGCCCCTGGACCGTGTGGGTGGACTTTGACTTGACAATCTCGCCCTGTTGCTTCGACAGTTTCTCCTTCACGCAGCTCATTGTGCGCCAGAGCAGCGGTGACCTGCCACACGTTGTCTTCCGCGATTCCCCCCGGGAGGATTACCACCACCACTGCGCGAATGCGGGCTTCATCGTGGTCCGCAACACTTCCGTGGGCCGGCTTTTCGTGGAGCTTGCAAGGGAAAAAAGGCGCTGGCCTCGGCTTCCGTACGGTTACCAGGCGGCCGTGGCCGAGTCGTTGCTGGAACTCTTAGGCATCGAGACCGCAGTTCTCCGTGGTGGTCCTCCCAGCTATTCGTCTCAGTGCTTACCTCATCTTGTACTGGGAAAGCCCCTAGGTGATACAAGCTACGCAAACTATTGCATGTGCTGGCGTCAGCAGCTGGATCGGCTAGTGGGTGAAGGACGTGATGGGAGTCGCTGGGTCCAGTTCCTACGCCCCAGAGAGGGTCCTGAAGTGGGCCTCCTTCTCGCGAGCTTGTTTCTCTACCGCGGATCGCTGTCCAGAAAGAAGCCTCGGGGTGCTGGCTATTTGCCATTGCATACTTGGTCGAGAGCGAAGCACAGGAGATACGTTGAGGCTTGGGTACCTCCCGAGTTCAAATATGGAGGACCCTGCGCACTCCTGCCGCTTATACTGCACTGGGCGTCGCTGCCCCACAGGCCAGCGCTGATCTACGACTTCTTGAACTCTCGGTTTCCGAAGTCCATGCCCTTGGACATTCTCGTGAATGGCACAGCACATGACTTGGCAATTGTTTATCGAGCTGCGGCACAAGAAGGCCGAGCAAGTTGGCATTCGTTTCTCAAACGCCACGCCAACATCGCAGATTCCTGGCGGATGGCTTCGCAGCATGATGGACCCATTCACAAGAAGCTTGACGATGCCGCCTGCAATCTGGGTTCATGGCGCTTGTGGCTGTTCGGTGGCTACACAGACTCCACTCGTTCAACTGATCTGGCATGAAACTCACGCACCTTCTGGTTGGTCCTGCTGAACGCTTCGGTCGACTGATCAAGCTTTTCTTCTTTCACAGTGCCACCTCGAGAGGGACAGCCTTCTGTCTTGGGCGGGCTGAGGCAACGGGCTTCATGCCGCCTGACGGCTTCTCGTACACTACTGGCTCACCTTTCTGGAGCTGTATACACCAGCGTGGACCTGGCTGCTGTTGTAAGACGGGAGGCGCCGGCGGCACCCGTGCAGACCCAACTCCTTGAGGTTGAAGAGTCGTTCGTGCCGGGCGACTTGAATCTCGCCGAGGTTTGGACTTGAGTGTGCCAGTAGGGCAGCAGCGGCACAAAAAGCTTTCCGCGTTCCATTGCGACCATGCTCAAAACCGGGCAAAAAACAACAACCCAGACCCCGATGCTTGGGACTTGACTGAACGGAATCTAGAGGTGGCGGCAGGTGCTGACGAAGACAGGGCATCGTAGTCACGCACGCTGGTAATTGAAGAATGAAACACGTCGTAAAATCCTCTTCAGAACAGAATGTTCGTTAGACTGACTGCAACTCGTGGAGGAAGCCGGGCATTGCAAGGCGTAGATGCCAGAGACCTAGAATCTTAACTTGGCAGAATTAGATGAGCCCTTCTCCTTACCGGGGCCCAGCCGCTCCACCCTGTCTTCTCAGCAAAACGCACTTCGCCCACAGAGACAGGGCTGGAGTTGACATGCATTCTGCTGTGGGGAGTGGGGCAGGTTTTACTTCTACGACTGGTTTGGATGCTCGGTCTCGCAGCCTCTATTTGACAATGTTGAGCTGGATACTCTTTAGATTCTTTCCGATCTTCATCATCGGTTTCGGCGACCAAGCAGACCGCACGACGAAATTCCGTGCAACACTGCAAGTTATCGCCGATGAGGATTCAAAGGGCTCGGCAATAATTCTGTCTGTTTCAAGCGGATGGTCAGCTCCGGCTGTGGCAAATTGGCAATTATGCTTTACTTGGCTGAAGGCTGTTGTGCTGCGACAGCCGCAAGATGCGCTGGTCAGTGGCAGCTATGTCTGTCTTCCGAGGCATGAGCCCCTGGAGCCAGGGGGTGTTCATGCCTTCGTGATCGAGATCGGAGCGCCCGCCATGCGATACGTTTCTGACTTGCCGAGAGCCTTGCACATCGTAATGAAGGAGGCCGAGGCCGAGGGCGAGGCCGTGTTTGAGGTCGAGCTGATTACACCCGGAGAAGGACAAGTTCGCTTGTCCGCGGATGCGAAAAGCCCTCCCGTCTTCTCGGTTGTCCCACAGCCTCAGTCGGTCACAGGCTTGCCAGGGCCAGGGTTTGACTTAAGGGCTGGGTTGCAGCCCCCGCTCAAGATTCAGTCCGATGAGGAAGCTCGCGGTGCAGCCGCGCTCCTTCACAGATGGCTGCTCAACTGGCCGCCAGGTGCTCCGTTCGGGGTTCCTGATGGAGTCGCTGCAGGGGAGACCCGAGATCTGTCGTTGACACTCATTGAAGACACGGAGCTCGAATCTGAAGGCTACGAGGTTCGGATTCAAAACAATGCAATCGCCATTGCGGCCCCAACTCCATCTGGACTTCTGCATGGTGTCGCCACCCTCAGACAGCTCCTAGGTGTTGCATTGGCCGAAGGACTTATCTCGGTGCCGGCACAGGTCATCCGAGACAAGCCGCGCTTTTCACACCGAGGCCTAATGTTGGACGTGGGGCGGCATTTCTTCAGTGTGGATTTCATCCTTCGCCTTCTTGACTGGATGTTCTTGTACAAGCTGAACACGTTCCATTGGCATCTTACAGATGATGAAGGCTGGCGCTTTGAGGTGCGATCGCTTCCGAACCTTACGCTTTACGGCTCCTGGCGCGGACGTGGAGAGGTAATTGAGCCGCAGTACGGCGGAGGACCGCACCGCTATGGAGGTTTCTACAGCCACTCGCAGATTCGAGAGGTTGTGCAGTATGCAAAAGAACGAGGAATCACGATTATCCCAGAGATCGATGTCCCGGGACACTGCTACGCTGCCATCAAGGCCCTTCCGGAGCTTTTGGGGCACAGCACAGACAGGCAGAACAAGCTGAAGCCCTCGCCCGTGAGTGTCCAAGGCTTCAGGGGTAACGTTCTAAACGTCGTCGCAGCTGACACCTACAAGTTCCTGGAGGCTGTTTTGACGGAGGTTGTGGAGCTCTTCCCTGGACCAGTTCATGTTGGAATGGACGAGATCCCTCGAGGTGCCTGGAGCGAGCATGCAGAGGAGGAGGAGGAACTGAAAGCTGGTCTCACCCTGTGGTTGCAGACCTTTCTAGCCAAGCATGGTCGCTCGATGATGGCATGGGAAGAGGCCTTCACTCCAGGGACGGCGATCGATCCTGACACTGAGCAGCGGCCGGCAGCCTTCGCCTGGAAGGAGGACGAACGCTTTGCGGTCCGGGCAGCAAACGCGGGGCTCGATGTCGTTCTTTGCCCGGCCCATTTCCTTTATTTGGACATTGTCCAGAGCTTGAGCTTCGAGGAGCGGGGGCTCTACTGGGCCGCCCCGGCGCTTCCTTTGCAGCGTGTCTACGACTACGAGCCTGTAGAGCGTTTGCGGCGTTTGGGGCTCGAGGAGTCTGCCTTAAAGCGGATCCGTGGGCTGCAGGCGAATCTCTGGACCGAGACCGTGGACTCCGAGAAAAGAGCTGAGGAGATGCTCTTCCCGAGACTCCTTGCTGTTGCTGAAGTCGCCTGGATGGAGCCGGAGCATCGCATATGGGAGAATTTCAAGTGGAAGCTTGGACCTCAGCTGCAATGGCTCTCACGCCAGGAGAAGCTGGAGCATTGGAACCAATTCTGTGGTCAGGTCGCCCGCGGCGACTTCCTCCGAGTTGCCCCACCAATCTGATTCGGGAGCAGAGGGCCTTTGCGCAAAGACATCCGGCCAGCCAATCCGCAGCAGGGTAAGTTGCCTGGTTATAGCCGGTAGCACAACGCAGAAGGCGAGCCAACCTTGCAGAAGGACGGACGGAGAAACTGCGCTTTGTGCAACTGAGGCCAGAAAATCGAGAAGCTTGGATGGCCAAGTACCAGGTGCCAGTGCGGTGCAGTGGCAGAAGAGCCCATGTGCTTGTAGAGCAGTGGCTTTGTGTTGAGCGGCCGCATGATGTAATTAGCCAGATTCCACTCATGCTGGTTGACAGCACCTCTCGGACTGGTGTACCGGCATGCGCTGGCCGACTGTACCTGATCCAAACGCTTCGTCCCATGCAGTTGGCAAGAAGTTTATAGACTGCGAAGGACTCCTGAGTCGTTAGGACACCTCCATGGCTGTCAGGCCAACCTGGCCAGGGCGAGATCTCTGACGTCGGACGTGCAGCGCAAGCTTCGGGCGTCTGCACCTGTTTGCTTGCGAGCTGTGGGGGCTGGTGTCCGAGAGCCTAGCAGGGTTGCTGATTCGCTGCTTGCATATGCCTTTTCAGGGTCAAGGCGTTTCTGGAGATGCGATGGCGGCACAGAGACGGGTTTCGCTACTGTCAGGGATTGCCTGCTGGGTAAGTGCTGCAATCCGCCCGGGCCATGCTGCGGCTCACCAGCCTTCGCGGCATAGATCAGGCTAAAGCCTCTTAGCCCATTGAGGTAGTATCCGCGAAGCCCCGAGCAGCCAGGTCAGGGCATGACAGTCTGAGACAGTGGGAGAGACCGACAGCAGCTTCGAAGCTCCTGTCATCTCATTGAAACATCAGATGGATGATCAACCCGCTGTGGTGCAGAGCTGAGGCGCCTGCTGCTGTCGTTTTTTCTCTTGCAAAGGTGGATCCTTCTGCTTTCTGGCTCTGAAACTGCAAAGTCGCCATTGAACTTCCAAGATTTGAGCCGTGACGTAGTCGACCGTGCCGATACTAATCAAATCTCTTCGAGTTCTGGTCATAAGGGCATCAAGGTCAAGGTCACTAGCCCTCGCAACGCGATCGATCAAGGTCGCTTCGCGTGTTGGCATCTGTGCGGGGAAGTATGGTGGCGGGAGAACATACAGTGGCCGGGTCGCGGGAACAGAGCTTGTGTTGTAAGGGGCGGCCGTCGTAGTGGGGGAGGTGAGCCAGCGCCGGAAGTCCGCTCCGCTGCCACCAGATCTCTTACGGCCGGATGCGCAGGACGAGGCGTGGAGATGGCCTGCTCCGGTTAGAAATATTAGCAGCTAGAGGTCAAGGCGACTCTTTCACAACAGAGCTAGCTGGCAGCATGCAGGACTTTCATGCATTTTTCCCGGCACCCCACTCCGACGTTGTAGCTTCTGTGGAGGAGCACCTGGTCTCTGTCTTCTGTACTTCCAGCAGCCAGGTGGAGGCAAAGGAGCAGAAGGACCTTGCACCGTTGTCGCATCATGTCGCATCGAGACATGTTGCGTGGCTGGCTGACCTAGTCGGTGCGTGGAGGAAAAGAAGGGGAGGCTGCATTGTTCTGGCAGTTTCGTGGTCCTAGCTTCCGAGATGGTCGAGACGACATGCATCGTGCATCTGAGTTGCCAAGGTTGTAACGAATCGGACGACGACCGGCAAACTTAACTGTTTGGAAAACATGCAAACAAGACGAAGGTCTCTGCCCCCAGTGGACCTCCCACATCTATTTGGCAGGACCATGGATGGTGGGGCACGCTTCTTTTGGCAGCTTCTTGGCCAGACAGGTCTGCTTTCGGTGATGTCTGTCGCATGTTCGCTACCAGGCATTTCAGTTCTGTCCACCAGCCTGGACGATCCCCTCGATGGATGAAGTTACCATCGAGCGACGCCTGCCCCCGCACTTGCGCCCTCTGCGGGCGCACGAGGCCGTGGACATGCCCAGGCTGTCCCGGCTGTTGTGCAGGCTGTGCGCACAAGCTGAGGGATGTGAAGGTGACAGTCACAAGGTGTTGCACTTCCGCCTAGACGGTCTTGGCGGAAACAAGGTTGTGTCGGTACCCGGCCTACTCGCGAGCTTGGGGTGCCCTACGGCCGCAAGCCGTGCCCGCAAGGAAGTACATGAGCTTGCCGTCCATGCTATTCGGAAGAGCCAATTCTTTGAGCGCCCCCTTCAACTGCACCATCTAGCCTTGCTGGAATGGGCCGGGGCGCAATGGCATCAGCCAGACGGCTGGGGCCGGAGCTCCATGCACAGCCTGTGTGCCGGGACGTATCTTCGTGCATTTACAGGTGGAGGTGGTGATGCTTCGCCCTTTCGGAATTCTTTACAAGGTGCTCGTGCCCGCTATCTCTCCCGCCGAATGCGTGGGTGGGAGGCCGCAGAAGATCAGCACGGCCTTACAGCCCTCAATTATCTCCTGCCACCACTGCAGCCTAGTTGCTGCGTGTGTGCGGGTGCTGCTCAGTGGGAAGTTTTCCAGTCCTTGGCGGGGAGCTTCGTAAACTCATTCGAACAGCTGGAGGTGATCACTCCGCTGGATCCATGGTTGAACACTGGAACTAATTAAGCGTTGTAGCCGGTTTCATCTCCTTGTTCCAGCAACCGACGGTTTTTGGGGTGTGAGTGAAGGGCTTTGGGGATGCCAGTGTTGACCTGAATCGTCCAGGCTCGAGGAGTTGTGTCGCCGACGGCCTTGAACTGGGTTAGCTCGGCGATGAGCTTCCAATGCGACTCCTGGCAGGTTGTTGCTGTTGCAGATGGCAAGGATGGTGTGGAAGGGCAGTTCCAGGATGCCGAGGGCGAGCAAGTCACCGCAGCAGGCAAATCTTTGCAATCCATGGTGCTGCAATCGACGCCCGGTTGCAAGTGCATTCTTGAGAGGAGCGCGGGAGGCCTGCGATTGTATACAGTATCCATCTGTTTCGTTTCGCACCACGCGCCTCAGGTATGGTTGTGCATTTGTGGAGTGCCGCCTGAACCTCTTGCAGGCCGGACCGGCTGCGTGCAACACTAGCTGTAACCCAACAGCTGCAGCAGGCCCGGGCAGTTGCGCTGACTGCGCTGGTGCCACTGGTGCAACTGCGGCTTCTGCGTGCCGCTGCCGCTTCCCGTTCGTGGTCACGCCGGGCGAGTTCCGAAGGTCGCAAGTTATTGGTTGTACCGATCTTTCTCATGTGCATCCTTGGCGTCCAGTTTGTTAAGTTCGGTTCTGGTAAGCCAGTTTAGGCATGGCATGGCCCAACTGTGTTCAGGCATGCCTCATGCAGCTCTAATGGCCCACTTTGGCCATCTCCTCGAGGATGCTGGCAGCGAGTGGACAAAGCGAAGCTTGTCAGCACTGGGCACAGAAGACAGGAAACACTGTAGGCCTATAGGCTTGTCCCCGCTTGTGCCCCGGCCATTCTGAGGAAAGTCCGGCTACGAGAAGCGGCTTACCCTGCTTGAGTTCGAACTGGGACGAACGACAGCAGCTCGTGTTGCATTCGCCAGTTCGCGACTTCAGCATTCCTTTCCAAGGTGTTCTGTGCTTTTGGGTGATGTCGAGCTGTGAGAGGCATTTCCTCCACCTGTGGCCTGCTCGAAGCCGAGTTCCCGATCAAAAGAGGCCTGCGACATTGATTGTCGCTCCCATGCTTCGGTCTCGAGGTGACCCTATGAAGCCTTCTCGATGGCCCAGTATGCCTTGGTTTGCTCATATTGTGTGGGATTCTCTAGGTTTTGAGGTTTTGCTGTGATGATGTTGCTGTGATAGAGGCCCCAGCTGCTGAAGCATCCGGGTTCCAGGCAGGGGGGGTGGGTGTTTCGGACTTGAAACCTTTTCCACGTCATGTGACGTGACAGGATGAACAGGCCTTCTCACAGCCAGCGCCTGCGGCAGCATTTAGCAGACAGTCGTTCGTTTCCCTTATATTGCCGAAGCCATGTTGCGTGTCATGCAGAGCATTTCTGGAGTGTTTTTACTTGTGGTATCTTGCTTGGTGCGACCACTTCGAAGCCTTGTGGCGTTGTGAAACGCTAGGATCTAAGCTCCCAGGGCCGTGCCAGAGCCCGAGCATTCCTGGAGCGGCTCCGGCAGCGGCGCTTGGCAGAGGCCCGGGTCAAAGGTGACTAGGAGGCTCTGTTTGCTTCAAACGATGTCGGCTTTGCATGTCATTGCCGGAATTCCACAACATGCCGCCTATCGAGACACAAATTCTGATAGTCATGTCGGAGAGACAAGCCAACCTCGAGAGCGCATCTCCAGCATGTGCGAGGCATGGCTTGTGTCAGCTCACAGAACAATGTTAAATTGCCGCATGTCCACTTCGGCAGAAACTAGTTTGTGTGAACCAGCTGGGACCTCAAAATGCTCCATCTCAAGAAGTTGTTTGGCTCAATCCTTGCCTGCCGGAACGTGTGCCCGCACCATTTCACTCATTATGCCAGCTCCATGCCTCCCGACATGGAAAACAAAGGTGGTACATACCTTTCTCGAGTTTGAGGAGGAAGAGGAGGGAAAGCCAGGCCGTCGCAGTGTCTCCTTACCGCCGAGAGTGTGCCGGCACCATGCCGAGACGGAGCTGCCGGAGGAAGTGAGACCCTAGGGGCTTTGATGTTGGCTGTGTGCTCCAGTTTGGTTGGGTTTCCACCTTGTACTTGAGTGTCTCGAGGTGCAGTCTCGGCATGCCTTATACTTGTACCTGATACTGGGCTGTGAGCTTTCTAGCGATCTTGGTGCTACTTGTTGATGACCTGATGAGATTAGGTCTCCTCTTGCTTTTTAGCTGTGCTATCTGCGGACCATGAACCTCATCTCGCGAGTCGAAGTGTGAGAGCATAGCTTCAGGAGAAGCTGCCCGAGGTGCAGTTGCCGAACGCGCCTGTGGTTCCGTCGACGCTTAATCCACATGCTGCCCCATTCACCGGGGTCAGCGGTGAGGCCGAATTCGGCGGAGACTCGGAGATGTACTACCCCTTTCAAGAGTACACCGTGCAGGAATGGCTTGACTGGATCTACCACCTGCAGACGAACCACGTCCTCTTGACTCCCGAGTATGCCGCGTACGTATGTGAGGTTGCACGGTTCCTTGGGATGCCGAGCACAGAGCACGAGGATCCACAAAACATCCACGTCTGTTGCATGGAGAGACCAGGATCTTACTTGGTGAAGTGGTTTGTGGATTCTCGCAAGCTCCGGACCAACGACAAGCAAGTCATCTCACCGGGGTTCGACTTGTACCACCCGTGTACTGGCCAGCTCCTGAGGTTTCTCATCGGGGCATTCCCCAAAAACTGGGGTACGGCAAATCCCGATGCCAATTTCAAGAAGTCTGACGGAAGAGGTATCTTCCAGTTGAAGTGCGACACCCAGCCCAAAGACCACGGTTGTTTGCCATGCCGGTTTGGGTTCTCAGTTTCAAACGGGGAGATGCGCACGGCCTCTGGCCATTTCACTTTGAATAACTG